TGGAGGAGTGTGGAGGCTGAGTATGTAGCAGCCTCAGAGGCAGCGAAAGAAGTTGTCTGGCTCAGGAATTTTCTCCTCGACCTTGATGTGGTGCCGAGTTTGCCCACTGTGATTACAGTGTTCTGTGATAACAGCGGAGCAGTAGCAAATTCGAAGGAGCCACAGACTCATAAAGCGAGTAAACACATAGAGCGCAAGTACCACCTGATACGAGAAATCGTTGGACGAGGAGAAGTCGTCGTTGCCAAGATACAGTCAGAGGACAACCTAGCAGATCCTTTTACGAAGAGCCTACCGGCGAAAGTCTTTACAAGACACGTAGAATGAATGGGAGTCAGACGTTAGACCAACATAGTAGACTAGTCTTTGAGAATTTGATTGAAAGAAATTGTGGTTAGTTTGTTATAGCGATGAGCTTATAAAGCATAAGTGGGAGATTGTTAGAGATGTGCTGTAAAAGCTATGTTTTGCAGATTCTATCGATTCCATTTTGATATGGCCATCATGTTTCGGTCAAATTTCATATGTGTGCAGTTTATTTATTTATGCAAATCATACTCCATGTCTTATATTGAGATAGTGTGGTTCGAAGTATTTCGAACAGAAATATCACCTGTCAGTTCCTTATAAGACTAAACTATTCGTTCACAGTCTAGACAGGCAGTGAGACCCCTTTTGGAAAAAGATTGTAGTGTATTCTTGATTCAATTGGTTTTTGACTGAAGAATTACACTAGCACTTATGATAAGTGTTGAACAGGACCGCGGAAGGATAAGATTATGAGACTCACTGATCGTTGTTGTAATCTCGACCTTCGGTGATTGATGCGTTCTCTTAAGATGTAAGATAATATAAAATAGGCATATATATTCACTTCTTGTTTATTTGATTTACCAAGTGATTCCTATTTTTATTAGGATGACATACGAGGTATTTTGGTAAATAAAAATGATTATATGATGTGCTATTGTAAATTATTTATGGTCACTATGTTCCAGTGCGCTGGATTAATGACGTCCCCGAAATGAGCTCAGGAATGTACATTATGTTAAAACCCTGCAGGTAGACGATTGTCTGACATAATGGTTAAGGATATGAGTGGTACTAATTTCGGAAATGAATAAGAAGTTGAGTGATTATTTTGTCAGTGATTTAATTAATCAACAGACGTTATATCTTAAACATAGGGAGGTAAATCGATCAATCAGATTAATATTAGTTAATCATGGAGGTTCGAATTTATTGATACATTAGGAGCTAAATGGGGAGAGCAATAATATTACTCTAGTTGGATGTTTTATTATTTAATTCCATTTAATAAAGAATTAATTTTATTCCATATTTATTATGCCATTAGGAAAGGAATATTCCTACCAGAATCTTGTCTAAGGTTAGGAGACTTGAGAGTCTTCTAGAAGGTGATAAGTAGTAGGAGAGTTCCTTCCTAGGTTGGATTAGTAGTTGCAGTAGAATTAGGATTCCTTGGCCTAATGGGATAAACCCATATTTAGCACCTTCTTAAGGTCCTTAATGAAGCCTATAAATACACCATGTCCCAACCTCTCCTATGTTGTTGTCTTGGCCGATTTTCTCTACTACATACACAAGAGAATAGCATCGTTCGAGAGTTAGGGAGATTCGATTAAACGCTCCACCAAGTTTAATCGAAGTAGGTGTTTAGGTAATCCGTTAGAAGGCTTTTGGGTACAATATATTCAAGCCTTTATAGATATATTTTTTCCGGTCATCTCCCCAGCTCACCGCCGCTGTTCGCCGCTGTGAACCACCGCCGGAGATCGCCGCCGCCGCCGGAAGACAGCCAGGCCCAACCGATCACAACCGCAAGCCGCCGCTCGCAGTCGTGCCCAGCCAGGCCCAACGCCAAGCTCCCAGCAGCGACCGCAAGCAATGCCCGCGAGCTCCCAGTGTCGTCTGCTTGTTCGCCGTTTGTCGCCCATCGTCGTTCGCGCGTTCCCAGCGCACGAGGAGTACGCGCGCGCTACACCTTGCGGGCATAGGAGACGTGCCCAACAAGCCCGTGTGGTCCCAAACGCGCACGCCCACTCCGCCTTGGCATAGGCATAGCGCCCGCGTGTGCGCACGCCCAGCAACCGCCAGCGTTCGTCCGCGTAGAAGACTCCAAGTTTCTTAACCTTTGGTAATAATCTAGAAATTATTTTAAGAAAGAATTTTATTCTTCTAATTAGTAAATTAATTAATAACAATAAATTAATTTATATCACCTAATTGATTAAATAATAAAACATTCTACTAAAGTAATATTATTGCTCTTCTAAATTAGCTCCAATTTTATTCAATAAATTTGAACATCCTGCTTAAATAATAAATTAATTTATTTGGTTGATTTATCATCCATATGTTTAAGATATAACTTCTGTTAATTAATTAAATTACTGACAAAATAATTAATCAACTTTTTTTATTTCAAAATTAATACCACTCAGTTCCTTAATCATTATGTTGAAAATTAATCAGTCTGCAGGATTTTTAACATAATATTCATTCTTGAGCTCATTTCGGAGACGTCGACAACCGAGCGTACTGAGACATAGTGATCGTAATTAATTCTAACATCATATCATATAAACATCATTATTTACCAAAATACCGAGTATGTCATCCTAATAAAATTGGAATCTCTTGGTAAATCAATAAACACATAATGAATATATATGTACGTTTATTAGATTACGGCTTAAGTGTACGCATCAATTGTTGAAGGTGTAGATTATTTAGTCGATCAATATTCAAATCGTCTTATCCTTCTGTAGTACATTCAATAGTTGACATAAGTACTAATGTAATCTATCAGTCAAAGACGAACTGAATCAATATTACACTACCGCCTTTTTCCAACAGAGTGTTCAAGTCTGTCTAGACTGTTTTCATTTATTTCACAAGGAACTGATAATATGATCTTTATGTTCGACACATCGAATCATACTATCGACAATGTAAAAGAAATGCAATTATGGTTGCACAAAATAAAAATTTACAAACAAAAATATTTTGACTAAAACATGATTGACATATCGAAATGAAATTGCTAGAAACTGAAAGCCAAACATTTACAGTATATCTTAAAAATATTTAGGCTCCCTAAAACAATAAAACTGTTAAAACATGCCCAAAAGTTAGGCAACCATAATTTTTAATTAAATACATATCTATTAAGTATTATATCCTAGGGAAACTGAAGCACTTCCTCTGGAAATGTGTGTCTAACACACTTCTTGTAACTGGCAACCTGTGGAGAAGGAAAATAGCCCTAGACATAACTTGTAAATGTTGTGGTGAAGATGTGGAAACAATAGAACACATTCTTTTGAATTGCCCTGTCTCTATTGCTGTCTGGAAATTGTCACCAATAAGCTGGGATGGTCAATCTTTAGACACTTCTTCATTCAAAGAATGGTGGACTCAAATCTGCTCCCTCAATCACTCTTCCACTTCTAATGATAGGCTTCAACTTACTGTGTACATCCTTTGGGAAATATGGAAAGCAAGGAATCTCTGGACCTTCCAAGGAATCAAAAAACCTGCTTTCTTTATTGTGCAATCTGCTGTGGGAAACTGGATGGAATTTACTGCTTCTCTCTCTCTCTCTCCTTGCTGATTTATTATGGTCCTGGAATTTGAGATTAGGTTTTGGCTGGGTTCTATGAAGTTGTGCTTGCTATTTGTTGTTGTGTTTGTTGATGAACCTGCTGTGATTTTTCTTCTGGAGTTTAGGATTGATTTTGGAGCTTTATTCTGTGGCTCATGGGGTGTTTCTGGTTACAGCTGGGGACTGTGATCCCTGTGGTTTAGCTTGATTGTGTTGTTGATGTTCTTTCTCGGTCCATTTGTGCTCTGAAGCCTTGTTCCTGGGATCTGGTGTTAGCCTTTGCAGCTGATGGTGGTAGTTGTTTCTTTTAGTTTGGGACTCTTTTAGTTTGTCTTAGGCTTTGTTGCTCTGTTTTTTCTTTTTCGCTTTTGTTTAGTTTGTTGCTTTGTTAGTTGTTGCAACTAGGCCGATTAGGGCAGTGGTTGTAATTTGTCCTTAAGTCTGTCATTTCGGCAGCAAGGTATAATAACTCTACTCTTAGGATCTCTTTGCTAGTCAATACCGGGAATAGATTATTATGCTTTTATTCGTAGGTTCTAGTGCGCTTTGTGGTGCCACTCCGTTTTCCTTTTGGAAGTCTGTATGGGTTCTTTAACCCGGATTGTATCTTCTCATTGAGTTATAAAATCTATCGTTTCAAAAAAAAAAGTATTATATCCTAAAATACATCATGAACGAATTTGTAATAATTTATAGCACAAGTATACATTAAATATATATATATAT